TTCGGACAAATTAAGGCACCGCTCGCAATTCCGAGCGCGGAGGATGTAAACATCGGTTGAACCTGGTTAGAGGATGCAGCTAGAGAGGATGGCGGAGCTGATTTAAATACTCACCGGTGTCGAGAACCGTGTAGCGAGGGTTGGTCGTGTCAATGGGCCGCATGTCTCTGACCCAGAAAATAATGGGCGGCGGTGATCCGACTGCGGCGCAATGGAGGACGGTGTTGTGCTCGATTTCGACGACCTTGGTCACCGGCGTTTGTGATATCAACGGGAATCCGTTGGGCAGTTTGTCTCCTGAAAGCAGAAAGAAAACGTCTAGGTTAGTGATTTCGATCGGCTGGCATAGTAGGACCAGCTAGGATTCTTCCGTCGCGATGGCGATCGAAATCTCGATTCGTCGATTACAGGTCGATCGAAGAGTTTAGCTGTTCGTTTGCTAAAAAGTCGACTTTTCTATATCGATCGTTACCAATTGTATGTCATTTTGTAAAGTGATTATGTCACTTTATTGTATGCCACTTTGTCACATTTCAAAACGATGAGACGAGCAGAATTTTTTTAAGCGTTGTAGAATCTTTTTAGGCGTTTACGAACATTTTTCACGAATATCGTGAGAACTGCTATTCATAGATGAATGACGTAAATGGTAAAATTAGGTGTCTTTTTGTAGGGAATACACCTGCGGAGACAGATCTCAAGTATCACCGTTTGTTTAAATAATATATTCAATATCGTTTATTACGTGAAATGCCTAGAAAATTGCGAATTTTTTGGCATTTTCGATGCTCCGAGCAGAAACTGTTCTCGACGAAAATTAATCGCTCTTCTACGAACTTCACGAAAAGTTTCAAAAAGCTTTTCTTTTTAAATCAGAAATTAAAGTCGCGTCGGTTTTTTTAATTGTCGATACGTATTTTTTACCCAATGATATAATCGACGTCGAGACGATTTCAGTGATTGGATAACAAAAAGATAAGAAACTCATGTTTTTCAACCTTTTTGTTATTAGTTATTTTATATATTAATTTCATTATCATTTATTTATACTATTATTTATATTATTTTTTATATTATATTTATATATTATATATACTTTTTATTATATATTCCATATATTTTTATATATTATTACCTTTATATTTATTTATATTATACTTATATATTATATATACTTTTTACTATATATTCCATACATATTTATATATTATTACCTTTATATTTATTTATATTATACTTATATATTATATATACTTTTTACTATATATTCCATACATATTTATATATTATTACCTTTATATTTATTTATATTATACTTATATATTATATATACTTTTTACTATATATTCCATACATATTTATATATTATTACCTTTATATTTATTCATATTATGTATTTATATCTTACTTATTATCTATTTTATTATATATATTAATATTTTTATATCTAGCCATAGAATCTACCTGACCCAATTTCTCCCATAGAATAGTGGTGCACCCTTGGTTGTTAGGTATTGAAACAATGCTAAAATCATAGCGAGAAGCTTTGAGGCTTCGATTGGGACCGATGCGAGCCGCGTAGAATACGAGAGAGACGGATCGGGCCAGGTTCGTTCGCAGCGGACGGCGCGTGTGCCGCATAGAATCGGGACACGGGTACTCGAGGCCAGACATACCGCGGTCAGTCCCGTGGGATCGAAAGTTAGGAAAAGCCATTGGAACTGGCGAGGATATCCCATTCCCGTTCCCCATCTCCCCGGACGAGAAACAGAGGCTCGGTCGTCCGGGAAGACGGTCCGGTGATACTGGTAGATGCGACCGGATATACCGGTGTCCGAGTGCTCGAGAATGGAATCAGAATTCAATATACCGGAAAAAGTTCGTAAAACGGTTTATGGGGAACGGGGACGGGGACCGCACCGGGGAAATACCCGCGACGCTCGATACCTCGAAATTTCTATTCTCGGACCGGGAGGCAAGAAGCCGATCGATTTATCTTCTTTTTCGCGTGCGCCGCGCTCGCCCGGAAGCTAATCGAAAATTTCTCCGGAACGGTCCCGCTTGTTTTCCCACGGCTCCGTACTTTTTAATTAACCGAACCGCCCGCCGGAAGCTTTCGATAATTTCATGATAATTTATGCATTTGTTTATTTACCAACGGCTATAAACGGCTTCGGGCGCGTATTGAAAATCGTTTATATACGGCAAATCGAGAAAGCGCGAACACGTTTTTGCGGCCACTTCTGGCAAATATACGTCGATTACGCGATTATGTATTCGGCGAGTTGTGTTGCATTAGTTACATGTACAACGTCAAGCTCGAGCGTATAGTTAGAACTAAAAGAAGTCGAACGAACGAAGCGAAGAGGATGGCCTATTAACTGGGCTTGAGAGAAATAAATGTTTGAAACGCTGAACAAACGGTGAATATTTGTATCTTCTCGTGTAATACGGAGTTCGGCAAATATACTGTTTTCGAAACGGTAACCGCATATATAAT